GACCCCCAACCCCCATATCCCCACTCAGACCCCGAATTTTCCCACTCGGACCCCCGACACCCATATCCCTGCTCAGACCCTGAATTTCCCCACTCGGGCCTGACCCCCATATTCCTGCTTGGAGCCCAATACAAAGAGAAGGAGGAAGAGCAACGGGGGTCGCTGAAGGCTGGCAGTCTGCTTGGGGGGACTGGAAGAGGGGGAGTCCAGGCTGCCTGGCCCAGGACTCCCGGAGATGGACTTGGCTGAAAGTCACTGATTTCTGTGTTAACAAGCTCTGTTCTGTGCTGTGTTCCTGTCGACTGATAAACCTTCTGTGTTACGCTGGCTGAGAGTCACGTCTGACTGCGGAGTCGGGGGGCAGGGCCCGCTGGCCCCCCAAGGAGCCCCACCTGGCCAGACTCGCTGCGGGAAGCGCATGGTGGGGCAGGGGATGCTGGATGCTCCGGGGTCAGACCCAGGAAGGTGGAAGCTGTGGAAGCTTCTTCCCCTGGAGACAGTCTGCTCCGAGAGAGGAGGCTCCCTCCGAGTCCTGCCTGGCTTCGTATGGAGCAGCTCCAGAGCATCGCCCGGGGACTCCGGGACAGTTGGTGGGAGCGGTGGGATAAACTGCACCCCGGGGGACAGGGCATCCTGCAGTAAGTGTCTGGGGAGCAGTAACACAGAAGGTTTATCAGTCGACAGGAACACAGCACAGAACAGAGCTTGTTAGCACAGAAATCACTGACTTTCAGCCAAGTCCATCTCCGGGAGTCCTGGGCCAGGCGGCCTGGACTCCCCCTCTTCCAGTCCCCCCAAGCAGACTGCCAGCCTCCAGTGACCCCACCTCAGACACCCCCGTTGCTCCTCCTCCTTCTCTTTGTCTCCCTTCCTGGGCCAAGAGTCACCTGGTCGTCACCTGGTTGCATCCTCCTCCTGGGTCTCAGGTTACGAAGGGCACCGGCCATAGCATAGGTGCACGCAGCTGGAGCAGCGTCACCTGCCCCAGAGGTCTCAGCCGAAGTCACACACCCCTATTCCCACCACCGAGGTATTGGTGCAGCACACAGGGAAACTGAGGCACACACCGGGGGATAGCTCAGTGGTTTGAGCATTAGCCTGCTAAACCCAGGGTTGTGAGTTCAATCCTTGAGGGGGCCATTTAGGGATTTGTGGCAAAAATCTGTCTGGGGATTGGTCCTGCTTTGAGCAGGGGGTTGGACTAGATACCTCCTGAGGTCCCTTCCAACCCTGAGATTCTATGATTCATGCAAAACAGTAAAATTCACATAGGCTCAACAGTAAGACTCACATACAACTTAACAAGGGAAAGACCTCCATGGCTAACTCTGACCCCATATCCCCCTATAGTGACCCCCAAGCTCCCCTGCTCTGACCCCCATGGCCCACTCTGACCCCATGACCCCCAAGCTCCCCTGCTCTGACCCCCATGGCCCACTCTGACCCCACATAGTGACTCCCAAGCCCCCTTGCTGTGACCCCCCCAGTCCTGATCCACCTCTGGTCTGACCCCTGAATTTCCCCCATTGGGACCCCCAACTCCCCGTCCCCTTATAGCGAACCCTAGTCCCCACGCTGCAGCCCTATTGCGACCCCCCACATCCCCCTGCTGCAACCTCTGAATCGCCCCCCTTGTGCTCCCCGAACCTCCCCCAGAGTGCCCCCCTTCCCTTGCTGTGACCCCCAATAGCCCTCAGTGCCCCCAAATCTCCTCTGCAGTGCCCCTGAGTCCCCCTCTGCCTCACCCAGAGCCGGGCCCACACTAACCCTGCCCCCCGGCGCTCTCCCCACAGCGCTGCAGCTGTACCGGAAGGGCCAGGGCGCCCAGCCAGAGCCCCACGTCACCCTATGCCTGGGCGAGGAGCTAGGCCAGCAGGACGGCCCTGCGGACAAGCTCATCATCATCCAGGTGGGCAGCCAGGGGGCAGTGGTGCATTGTGGGATGGTGGGGTAGAGGTGCATTGTGGGTGGCAGTGAGGGGGCAAAGTCCATTGTGGGATGGGGGTGGTGAATTATGGGATGGTGAGGGTACGGGGTGGCAGTGGTGCATTGTGGGATGATGTGTGGGAGCAGTGGTCTATTGTGGGAGGGTGCAGGGGGAGCTGAGGTGCATTGTGGGATGGTGGGGGGCCATGCCCTGACGCTCTCCCTGCCCCCTACAGATGGAGCAAGCCTTCGCCCGGAAGCTGCTGGACATGCCCGAGGTGGAGATGGCGTCCGTCTGCCTCCTCTCCCTGGAGCCCTCCTGTCTCTTCAGCCCAATCTGAGGGGACCCAAGATGCTCCAGACCCTGCCATTGCCTCGACTTAGGGGGCCAGGGGTGGAACTTCCTGTCTTGTCCCATGCGGGACAGGTACTTTCTGTACTTAGAAGTCATGCCCCCAACATGCTTCCTGTTTTGTCCGTTATTTGGGGAGGGATTTCCTGACTTGTGGAACAAGATGGGGCAGGATATCGCGTCTCACCTGTTTCGTTGAGGTGGGAGGGACTTCCTCTTTTGCTCACTGTCCAGGGAAGGGACTTCCTGGGGTTGGAGACCACACTCGAACACACTTCCTGACTTGGTGTATTCTCAGGGAAGCAGTTCCTGGAGGACTGGAACCTGTTGGAGGCTGGCCTTCCTGTCATGTCCATTGTGTAAGGGTGGGACTTCCTGTCTTGCCTCATGTAGAGCTGGGAGGGACCACCAGGGATTTGAATTGTGTAAGGGTGGGACTTTCTGGCTTGACCAGTGCGTAGGGGGTGGGACATCCTGTTTTGCACATTGTTCGGGAGGGAGCTCCTGGCATTTCGAATGTGTAGTGGTAGGACTTCCTATTGTACAGAGGCGGGATATCCTGTCTTGGCCCTGGTAGTGCCGGAACGTCCTGTAGTGAACGTTGTAGAGGCAAGACCTCCTAGTTTTATGTCCCTCTCTCCAGGGTAGAAGGAAGCTTCTTCTCCAATTTGTAGAAACTTTTATATGCCAAAGGCCCTCCTGACCTCCGGCAAGATTGTGTCTGGCCCCCGCCCCTTGCAGCCACAGCTAGGACCTTAAGCTCAGGTCCCTTTGCACTTTATCCCTAACTGCAAGAAACTTTATGAACCATGTCTTGTGTTTTTAAATAAAGTTTTATTTGACCTAGCCGCCAGAAACTCTGTCTTGTTTATATGCTAATTACGAGCCATATTATTATACATTATTGTGATGTATTACTTCATTTCTTGTGACCATTACTCATTAATATTTCTTATCTGTTATTATTGTGGTTAATACATATTGATTTTTTGTATATTTAGTTGCTAGCTTCTATTAGCAATTATTAATTGTCAGCAATATCAGTTTTTAATATGGATTAATCTAGTGTAGATTTGGTCTTGAGTCAGTATTAATGATCAACAATATTAGGTGTTAATATATATTAATCTAGTGTAGATTTAGTCATTCGTCAATATTAATTATCAACAACATTCGTTAATATATATTAATCTCGTGTAGATTTACTCATTCAATATTAAATATAAAAATATTAGAGGTTAATATAAATTAATTGTGTGTATATTTTGCCATTAATCAGTAATCTTGTTTACTGACTATCGGCATTAGTGGTTAATATATTTTCTATCATCAGTCTCAGTGATCAATCTCTTTTATATCCATTATTAATGATTACTGTGGTGTAAATATCACTCACTAACCTTCACTCCTCTTTATTATCAGGATTAGCAATCGATGTGGTTTATAGCCATGGTTATACGTTATTACTAATTTGTAAAAGTTGTTAACCTTTATTAATTAGTGTCAGTGGTTTACATAGCTATGCAGTAAGTCATCATACATTTAAATACTTTTTAATGCTCATTAACATAATCCTATTTGTAGAGGCTGGGGAGACTCCGGCGAGGGGTGCAGAAAAGCCCCCCGAAAGTGAGATCAGGGCCCGATGGGGGGCAGCTGCTAGGGCTCAGAGGCTTAC